CAGACAGCCTCTTCCCAATATGCGTTTTTGCAATTTACATATATGCAAAAACGCATAAAAAGGACCCAGGTGCAATACAACAGGCTTGCCGACGCGATCATGCGCTTTTGCCTAAATTTGCATCAGTCAGGCCGTTAACAGCAGGAATGATTTTTGCGCTGTGGTTAAACATATGGGCTCATGTTGGCAGTGTTTTGGCCTTTTCATACAGGAGAAAAGGACGTCGATTAAGATGGTAGTGTTGCAATAATGGGGTCGCCTGGACCTCCAGCATGCACGATTATCAATTTTTTGTGTGAAGCTCGGTCGTTTTCCCAGTGAGTGTTCGTTCATCGAAAAATGCAAATTTGAAAATGGGCAGGATTTGGAAGAGAATTACGAAACCGCAAAACTCACTCGCTTTTAAGTATTTGGTAAAATAAAGTATTTTTCATGCCCGCTTGAAGGGAATTTAGCCTCCAAGTTGTATTTAGTTCACATTTGAATACAAAATATTCTTGCAGAGTTAGAGCCTTGCGGCTTGTTTGGTAAGCGAAATAGCCACTTCGTTAAAATTACCTTCGAAGTGTCCGAAATCGTGATGCAAGTAAATCGAAGCTCGTTTTAGTTACATGATTCCATGGATGGATGATAGACATCCTGACAAATTTTCAGCCGTTGCTTTCCGGCTAGTTTTCGAGCAGATACAGTGTCTGCTGCCAGCTTTGATGTGATCGTTAAGCGTGGTGTAGGCGTGCGTGATAGCTGAGTTTAAAATCTTTCGTCCACACATGGGCACATACCATCCGTGTGAAATTTCGGCTTTCTAGCTTGTTTGGTTCTCGAATTCGCTTTCCTGCCACGGAATTTGCACATTTTTTCGACATCCGTGTGTGATATCGAGATGTATGTGAGCGATGATTTCAGGCTGTAAGGATGACATGTATGCTACGAAAATGCTTGCAAAATATCAGCCTCCAAGTTTTCCTGGTTGTTGAATTGAAAGTGGATGACAAAGTTTGCTTGCTCACAAACACACCCACTTACCCATGCACACAAACGCATATATACGTACACTTATACACATACATACATATACACACACACCACATGCCCTTCGACAACATGCATTTTTTTGCACTGTAGTAGCGCTACAGCGCTGTACAAGAAAAATGCATAAACGGCAGAGAACTAAAAAAGCAGTGGTTGCAAAATTGGAAGGACTTTTGAGACAAATGTTAGGGAGGAAATACAATGATGAACGTCAGTCTTCTCGCCCACATCCGCATTTTTGTCTTCTTGACTGTCCATATCCACCTGTTCTACAGTTCAACTTTTCATCGTCCCTGAACAGCAAATTTCGGAGCGGATTTTCCAAAGCTTTTTACTAATTTTATCGTAAAAGGCCGGTGATAATCACTGCAATTATAAAAGTGAAATTTTCTGGAAATTGGCACTTCAATTAAAAAAGCTTCCATTCTGACTTTAAAACAAAGAGCGAAGGCCCGAATGAATTTCTGCTGCTAATGATGGCTGCAGGACGTCACATTTTTCAACCAATTTTGTAACACATCATTATTCTTCATTTCGTAATTGTCTGTTGCACCATTTGATAACGTTCGGAATAAGTCAGTGGTGAACTAGTAGCCGTTTCAAGTATTCAAGTAGTGCTTTTATTCTTATCGTTTTGACATTTTCTACGTTGCACCTAAAGCAGTGGATGGCGGCTTGCAATCGGATCGCGCTGATGAAGGCATTAGTTGACCGATTTTCGTTGACACTCCACAGCAGCGTCACTAATCCGGGCCAATGCGAACCATGCAGTAGCATGTTATGGCACTCGACTGGCTCACCCTTAATATTCAGTCACTTCGAGGGAACTTTTTTCAAAATGCACCGAGCTAGCCCCGCAGCTAGTGAATGCTCAAGAAATTCTTTTCACCACAATGATAACTTCCGTGTCTCATTCCTGGGAGCATCTCACTGAATTCGCCCGTGCCGCAACTATGGTTTCCTCGAAAGAAAAGCAGAATTATTTTGAAAAAAAAGAGAATGTGAGTCTAAATTTTTGACCACGTAGCTACTACTCCACAATAACACCTATTTGTTGATTTAGGAGAAAGATAACGCCGGCAGCAGGTAGATATTAACTCTGAAATAGTGTCAGCGGAAGCCTTCACTGTTTGCTTTGTACCCAGAGCCAGGTTTCTGGTTACTCTGGAAGGACGGGGCGAAGACTGTAGAAGAAAATCCATAAAGATGTACAGGGTCTCAACTGTAGGCGTGACTGGTCCTGAAACTGGTATTTAATCGCTAAATTTCGAAACCGGTCTGAGCTTTCTTTCAGACAGACAGCTTACAGAACTCGGAGCAAATATTTCAGGAACCTACTTCCAATAGAATTACGCTTGCTTGTCCCCTCCTAGTGGAACCTCACTCGTGTAAATTATTATTTTTAACGCTTTTTAAGGCCATAGAAGATCCTGCAATGAGTGCATGAGTACCGTGAATCTCATATTTTGAATTCTGATCACCAGCATGTTCTAGCTTTTGTTCATTTATATACTCTTTTATTTTTCGTTCGCTATCCTGCCATAATGGTTCCTGTAAAAGCAACGCAGAGGAACCAGAAAGCAGTGAGCTCTGAAACTACTAAGATTGGTAATTTATGAACTTTTCTCAACGTTGCGGCTACTGGTTTAAGAAATTTCCGGATCTTTGCGTTTTTACAAAACCGCGAGTTTTTTTAATGGCTTTCCGCCAATTTCACGAAGAAAAGGCAAAGGAACGAAGTTGGAAAGCTCCGGAAGATCATAACTGAAAAGTGTTTTTTAAATTTCTCAAAAGGCTACGCACTTGAAAATCAAGGCCCTACCTTTTCTTCATAAAATCAAAGAAATTTCATTGAATCAAACTGTCAGTGATTTATTCGACTGATTACATACAGCGAATTATTATGCACGCACGGAATTGTTTGTCGCACTTCAGTGGTGCCTTGTTTATTAATATTCCAGTGACGTGCACATGCTTCTGACAGTTGAGGACGTCGTCATCTCTCTGCCCGAAACTGCGCTTGTCTTGTCGGAATGGTGCCGCTCTTGCTTCTATTTGACTTTTCTGCAGCACTTAATTTAACGTTTCCGGGATCCTTCATTGGGTTTTATCAGTGTTGAGCAAATTTTAATATCTCTGCCATTTTTGTCCCGTTGACGCGGAAAATCATTTTAGAGCAAAATATGCTTGCAGGTTCTGTCTTATCACAGGTTTCAGCTGCGGCGTAGCGAAAATAATGAATCTGAAATTTAGAGAAAGAGCCATCTTGTGAACTAACATTTGATCTGTAATCAAATTTAGGTCAGTTTTCCAATCCGTAAGCTAAAAAAGCTACAAGATTAAAATTTCAGGAGCAAATTTTTAAGCTTTGCACAGCTACTTCTGCGTCTAGGTTTCTAATCCCAGATTCTTCACAAATCCAAACTCAAAATTTCGGCTACAAAATGGAAATTCTGGCTTTAATTCAAAACACAGTGCGGATTGAATCGCCGAAATCCTAGATTATAACTTCAGAACAAAGCAGTTTGAAAATCAGAAACTGGCACTTTTTCATCCGATGAACAAGTCGTACAGGTGTACTGAAAAAGTGAAGCCAGTACATATATTTGTCCAATTCACCCCGTGCAAATCCGTATCGATTTACCACAAAAAACAACATAGCTGTCCGGTCTTCTAAGGCGCACAGCCAATTTTTGTCATTCAGCATGGATCAGCATGGATATCGCGTTTTTTTTCGCGCCTTTCTGATGAATATTTACGTCCGCCTTTCCAGATTTTGCATTATGTGATCCAGTAATTGGCTCACATTTTCGGTTTTAGCGTCCCCAGAAGGACAACAGAAGGCGGCGCGCCAGTCCTCCAGTCCGTATGCTGCCATATCATTCATAACGCTAGCCTAAACATCCACAGTTTCTTGATAAGCTGAAAAGTCACATTTTTTGATTCGATAATTTAGGGGCAGTATAAATGAACGAACTTACTCAGCTCTGTTCTTCTGTCCTGAATAATTTTTATTATTGGAGGATGTATTGTAATGACCAATATCGAGATTCACTAGAAGAGCTAGGATGAGTGTGCCGGTCTGGAGATGTGGTAAATCCGACTAACTGAGGCGGTTCCGGTGCTCCTCTTATGGATGTTGATTTTATGCTCTAAACGCTGGGTAACTTGAATTCCACTTTTTTTGGTTGTCCATTTGTGTTATTTTTATTCATAGGATCACATTCAAAATCATCAAAAAAAGGCTGGTCCTGTGGAGTAGCTTCGATTCCGAGTTAGCATCATCGCCAAGAAGCGCACGAAACATGGCAAACTGCTCTCCCCAGTCAGAAAACTAATACTAGCAAAGTGAGGCACAAAAACGATGTAGAAGTGCTGGGTATGTGTGTGCGGTGCGGGATCACTGCTGCTCCTGCGCCACTGTTGGCACGGAACAAGTCGTCAACTACTTCCCTTGTAAAGTCCCAGTACTGTTCCTGTTGCCACCGTGGAGTAGCGAGGTGCAAAAACCTACTATTGATTGAAGAAGCTGCGAAAATGTGCTACTGCTACCGCCCCTGGTACCGCTGTCCTCGGTATATGCGCTTGCCTTCGCTTCCTTTTGTTCTGGTGAGGTGAGCGGGACGAAGAATCAATCAGATGGACACATGGAGCAGTGGACTGCTTACTTGGTCCTCCTGTCCCGGTTCCAGTGCAAAGCTACTCATCATTTTACCGCTTCTGTAATCAGTGTCATCACCGCCACAATCGTTGTCCTCGTTATTGTCAGCGTGAACGTCACCATCCACACTTCTACCGTCATCAGTACTTTCTGTACCACACCAGAAACCCGCAGTGAACGAATGCTTCTAATTTCCTCATATTAGCTCGCTACCTTCGCATCGACTTTCCCAACACGTTATTTGCGACGGAAAAGTATTTCCAAATTTGAATACGAGTCCGAATGCATGCGCGTAAGCGAAAGGTATTCCTTGCCACGGCCTAGTGCTCCCATCGTACGCAGAAGTCACAAAAAAGCTTGTCCCGAACCGTCTTAGCCGCAGGTCTGTTTTCTTTCTTGCCATTCGTTTCGAAAATTTGTCAGACCATACTCAGCTTCTTTGCCTCCCTCGGTCTAAGTCAGAATCTTTCCTCTGCTTTTCCCTAAGAATATATATATATATATATAT